CGCTTGGACACTGCTAGCACGGGGCGCCCACACAAACGCAAAGCAGGAGATGAAGCATCGCTGAATATGTTTCCAAACCAACTTCATTCTAAGCCAAAGATTAGAAAGTATGATGAAGCACATCTTCCCTTTGGCTTCACTTGCACAAGTGCCAAGGTAGATCACTGGACTAAGGTATGATTTTACTGCATTGGCAGTAAGATAGATAAATAGAACTTTATTAATCACTCGGATTATTAAACTGAAAAAAATTTGAATAGTAAAAAAAATTAGAATAAAAATTAAAGGGAAAAAAGAATATAAACATAAGAATGAATAAAATATATATAAACATAAGCAATGTAGCAGCCAAAACGCCTATTGCACAGTATTTTGACTATTGTCAGTCTATTGAACAGTGATTAGTTGTTATTTAGTGTTTATTTGTGCAAACACTACTGCTTATTTGTCCCCGCCCTCCTTTGTCCTCCTGTTTTCCCGCCCCCAACGAGGAGTTAAACAGTTTGATGGCGTGTGGGAAAAAGGAGTTTTTAAGTCCTAGACATGGGGAGAAGCTAGCTGACGCTGAGCAGACTCCTTTGGTTATTTATGACCATGCAGAAGATGCCCAACACTGTCCATAATGTCTAGCAGTGTTTTTAGTGTCCTCTTCTCTGCCACTGTCACCAGAGTGTCCAGCTTCATGTCGACCACAGAGCCAGCCTTCCTTAAATATGAAAACAGTAGGGCCAAACTTTACAACTCTCTGATCTTAACACCTAAATGTGAATCCTTTTTGCTGGATAACAGCCTGCAGTGATTTGTTTTCAACACACCTCCCAAGCAATCCCAGACCATTGTTCAATGGCAATTCTCTTAAGTGCCTCGAGCAGATTTTCAGTGATATTAAAGTCAAAAATTTGTGCAGGCCAGTCAGAGAAAATTAGTTGAGATTTAACAAGTCAAGATTTTGACTTGTTTGCGATTAATTTTGTTGTTGCAGGGTGGGGTCAAAATCTCCCCTGTGGCAACCAAAATGGTACTGAGGATCAAGTAATTTCCTGCGTATCAACATCAAGTATAAAATCCTAGTATCCCAACAACCCCTAGCTTCCAGTATGCGTAGTTTTTGTTGAGCAAAATTCAATCTGGCTTGAAGATGTTTCGTCTGTAGAAGTGACATTTTTCTTGGTCTGCAACCTTAAAGTTCATTTCTTTGGAGTGTTCTACTGATTGTCTTCTTTGAGACTACAATTCCGGACTTGGCTAAATCATTCACTGATATTGTTAGACAATCATTTTCTTTCCAGAGTCTTTTAAATCTTTGGCTTCCTACCTCACTATTCTTGTTCTGAACTTTGTAGCCAACTTTGAATTACTTGATGGTATTTCTCACTTTTTAACACTCGAAAACACTGATGATGTTGTATATCCATCTCCTGCTTCGAGAGCACCAACAACTATTTTTCTCAAATGTAAACTGTTTTCTTTTGTTTTTGGCATGACGCTTTCTCAAGTGACAGCTCAAACCCTTGCTGAGCTTAACTTGATTTTACAAGCTTTGAGCATTACAACATTACAGCACGTCATTGCATATCAGTGGTTTGGCTATGGCTCAATAAAAGGTTTTTATTATTGAGCTTCAGCTCACAAAGATAACTGCATAAAAGCTATTGAAACAATGTATTCATGTCCAGCTGTTGGACAGCTGATGCATTCTCTTTCCTGTAAGCAAAGAAATAATGTACCTTCATATAGCTTCCTGATTGACAGAGCTAACTCTAAACCTCAACTTAGTGACTGAAAAATTAGAGATACTCAAATTGAAATTTTAAGCTATTTTCTTACAATTGTGCCATTTTCTAGAAATCCTGACTTATTAACTGAAGATTTTGAAATACCTAGTTCAACATTATGAGTTATGAATAGCAAATGATTTGTGTTGTGGTTTTTTCCATTGCCATAAACAAGCTTACATGGGCCTGGCAGAGAACGAGACACAAATATCATGCTTAGGATGGACGGGTTCCTGATGTAAACAACAGGCATTTAACATTAGCTTGGCGCTAGCAAAGTGATACACTGAAAGATGGTATATACTGGAGTTTATTGACGTTGAAATTAAGCTATTCTTGACAACGGATACTTCTTACATATGTAATAATTGTGTTGTCTACTTATGGTGCTAGTAACTGCTATCCGGAGCGAACGAGCATGACAAGCTGCCAACAACAGGATATTAGGTATACTTCCGTTAGCTTAAGGCTACGACCATAAACACAACTGGTTCTTTAGTGTACTCCAAGTGCTGTGTTATACAAAGACTGAAACTTGCCATGTCTGTGGCTCACTTTAAAAGCCAACCGCGAGAGTCACGCGTCGTTTTATCATTTAGGTGCGTTAACACCAGCGCTGTAAATGTTGTTAGCTAACCGAGGCCTTCAGTCAACTGTAATCCTTGAGTTCTGCTCCACTTCATAAAGCTTCATATCAGTTTTACGTAGAAGGGCTTCAGGGAATGTGCATTTTAAGATGCTTCGTGACATTTTAAGGGCCACTCCTCATTTCGGCATATGGCATTGCACTAATCAGAAATTACCTCTAGATGTCTTACACATTAGCTGTTCCTTCGCTGTAAGTCTTTTAACATGTAAAAGAGATAAGTGGATTGTGTTTTACACACTTATGGTGCCTAGTACATGCCTATTAAACACAATAAACAACTACTGCGTAAGTGGTCTGTAATTGTGATTTTTAACCACGACAACCGTAACTACAAATTCAAAGCTAGCCTGCTAAACGCTAGCTAAGGTGGCAGAGTTTCCAGCAGTCTTTGCTACAAAAAAAACAAAAAAACATTTTGAACAGCATTTTAAACTCACCTGAAAGTTAAACACTTGCACGGGCAAAGGCATCTTATGTTTGTCTCACTTAAGAATTGGTGTCTTTGAGGGGGTGGGGGGTGGGATTGTAGCATGAAGACATAAATGTCTGGCGGACAGTTCAGCAGCCAAGCCGGACTGGGTTGGATCTCCAACTACTGGTGGGAGGTGGGAACTGCAACGGTAACCAATTAATTAAGAGCAAGGAAACTGAAAAAGAAAACATTGGTATAGAAAAATATTGAGATTGAAGAAAAATTAAACTGAAAAAGGAAAGGCTGACATTTAATGAACACAAATTTGTGTTTTACTTCTGTTGTTTTACATTTGCAGTTATTTTCCCTTTTTACTTTCACAATTGTTTTTTTTTTTGCTTTTTTCTATCTGTTTTTCAGTTTAATCAATGACTGTTTTAATCATGTGTCGCTGTTTTGGCCAGTGGGGGAGGGGACTAAAGGCGGGTTTCTGCTGAGTCTTCACGGTAATTTGCATATAATTTGCATCCAGCAGACAATTAGCTAACTACCTCAACTGAACAACTTTGTAATGGATGTTACAAGTTAATTAAACTGAAAAATGGATTGAAATTGAAAAAATGGATGGAAGCTGAAAAATGGATTGAAACTGGAAAAAAAGTTGTAAGCGAAAACAAAAAAATTACAGTTTCAATTAATTGCTTTTCACTATCAATTTTTTTCAGTTTCAATACAAGATTTTTCAGTACATTTATTTCAGTTACAATATTTTTTTTCAGTTTCAATATTTTTTTTGGTTTCATTTCAAGGTGGCATCGTTCTGATCCCATACTAACAAGGATCAAATATATTATGTGGGTTAAATAGCTGATTTTCCAATCCCTTCTATAAAGCTGCTATAAAAGGTGGAAATTAGTGAGTCAATCTAACCATTATCATTAAGATGAAAAAATGTCTACTAACCTCTAGATTTAGCCAGTCCATCATTATGGCTCACTCCAAGCTTTATCAAAGTTTTGCAAACGAACCAGTTTATGTTGCACTAAAATGCCTGGTTGCAAATAACACAACATTTGTATGTGCCAGCTTGTTTTCCAAGAAGCTTCAGAAAAACAAGCAAGAAAACGTGATTTATAGATTCAATATCTGATTTAAATGTTTACTGTGTAGGAACAGTTTATGTAATTGTTGTTTGAAATTAGTACTGAATGCTGTTCCAGATCTTTCCAGCCCACCCCCTTGGGTTTCACATATGTGCACAATATAAATATGCAGCATATGTATCATTACTTAAGTAAAAAAATATGCCATATGATGCTTCTTTTCAGCACATTTGACTGAGAGACAGTTGATAAAGAGTGGTCAGGCAGCTGTAGCACTTTGACTTTCATTTGTGATGGGTCAAACGATAAAGGACTCTCAGTGGGTGTATCAAAGCACAACTAGTGAAGCCCCGTATCAGCATGTGTATTGCTATAAGAAAAAATCACGTGACAGCTGTCGTTTCGTACACAACGATTTTTATAAAGTCATTGGTTGTACAGTGATGAGGTATGAAACTGTGTTTAAGAGCAAATTCGTGCTGAGAGTAGAAAAGGAGGAGACTATCTTTGGTGCTGTTTGTGACTTTACGTTTTAGGGTCATCATCACCGGAACCGCAGAGGAAAAGGACATTTTCTCCAGTCTGGGATCATTTAACACTGCCTCCACCCCTCACATACACTCCGACTGTTATAAGCGCGTATATATCCTAAAGCAAAACTAAACAAAACATTAACTTTGATTTCCTGTTCTCAACTTATGCATCCTTGTAAAAAGTATTTTTGTAAATTCTGCATTTGACAGACTATAGTCTATTATATCGTTTTGTTATAATTAAATTAATTGGAATACAGAGTTATCTTTCATTCAGTTAGCACTTTACCATCAGCTGGTTATGTAAACAGGACCATTCATCACTCATTTGGTGTCTAGATATCAGAATGATTGGGCAAAGTTCAGTCCTTCTCCACACTCTTTATAAACGCTGGCTGCAATCATTATTTAAATCCAGCAGTTGTCGCTGCAGCTAACAATGCAACAATGCACTCAAGGCGAGCACAACATGCTGTCTTGATTGTAGATGCTTTGTTTGTTTGTTTTTTTATTAGTTTTCCTTACACAATTCAGTCTTTGGCTAAGCTGATATTTGTTGGTATAAACATGTTATATTAAAATAAATAATAATACTAATGTTGGGAAATCATCCATTTCTACTTCTTTATAAATAAAATGCAAATGTGAACATTTTCTTCAGTTATCTCTCTTTAGATATATTTCTTTTCACAGGTCCATGCAGAAATGCATTAGGGAAATTAATTATTACATACAAGGCAACAAGATTTCAGTTAACATTTATTGTAAAATCTACTTTCTAAGGGAGGAAGAGGTCTTTGCCTTTGCAGGGTTGTTGTGACATTACCCTGTTGATGAGTTTAAAATGTGAATTTCATGTAACCTTTCACTTTGTTTTATGCGAAACTGGTCAACTGCATAATTTAAAAAGCATTAAAAAAAGAAATGTAAATTATGTATGTTGGTGTTATCAATCCTCATTTGGCTGAAATTCCATTATATGCATGATAAAACTGGAAAATCAATCTGTTTATCATTTTAACAGTCAAAACAAATATTCAGATGTTGTGTTATTGCATGAAAATACCAGGTAGCTTGGCACATCCAAGCTTATCCTATGAGTGTTCGGTGGGGCTGAGGCAGGCATGCCATTCCATCCTCTTCATTCCCAAATTTTGGAGGTAGTCTGTGTGGGGGCAAGTCTTGCCATCTTGGAGTACAGAATTTGGGCCCAGACTATCGAGATATGGGATTGCCACTTGTATCGTATCCATATCTCTCTGTATTGAGATTGCTTCCAATAATCACAAGCCTTGTTTTTCCTTCTTTTTTGCTTGTCCTGTTTGGCAGTGTAGCAATCAGAATTATTGTCTGAAGACCAAACAAAATGCCCAACAGATTAATTTTCCCAAGTGGACCATTACAGCTTTTGTTCCAAGAAACACACATGCGATTTAAAATTGAGAAGTGGGCACTTGCACCAGAGGGGAGGCTGATTAAACAGACTGTCCTCAGGGTGCCATTCAGTGTACCCACCCCAAGGCCCTATTTGTGTATGTGATGAGAGTGTAAGTAATGTAGTAGTGCCTGTTAAGGAATAAAACTGAGGCATCGGTGGCCAGGAAGGGACAGAGGAGGAATACCTCCCCTGCAACTCAGTGATGCACCTTTACCTCAAGGTCCTGCATGTGTGGTGGCATGATGAAGCAGGAAGAGGGAAGCAATTAAGGATGGAGGGGAAATGATTGGGACAGTTGGAAAGTACCTGGAGCCAGCTCCCCCCGCTGGCCCCCATGGACACCCCTGTTCTCCAAAATCCACCGAGAGCAGGGGTCCAGGCTCATCCAGTCTGAGGCCCACAGTGGCAGCACTATAGCCTTATTTTTCCAGTGAGGAAGATGCCCCTGGACATATGACAATGCCTCCATCAAAAGCTGTTACTCTATCAGTGCAGCAGTCAAAATAGTGTTCTCTGCTTCTTCTCCACACTTTGACCCTTTGGACCCATGTACTAGGCTTACTCCAAATAATGGTGTAATTGTGCAACTTTAGGTATGGGCCCTTTTCAGGTCAGTTAAACATGGCATGCTTGGAGCAGACTGATCACATAATAGACATCTATATTAATAGATGCTGATATAGCACCAGCACTTTACCAGCATTTTCAGTAGCACAATAAGTATTGGTTTGGCATCGACACAGAAGATTTGGTAACTTTGTGGCAAAAACTATGCAACCATTCAAAAGTCACTTAAAAAAAACTCTCTTTCCCATTCTGATGCTTGTATTAAATATCAGCAGGTTGTATCAGTCATGTCTACGCGCCTAAATGCACTGAGTTTCTACCACATGATCGGCTGTTTATTCAATCATTTATTTTGTGAGTTGCTCTGAATTGTTGAGTCTGAAGCTATTAAAGCACAGATGGACAAAAAAGTGCCTGTACAGGTGGAAATTACAAATCGTATCTGCTCATGACGGCTACAGTCCATCACAAAGAGAAAGTGACACTGACCATTTTAATCTCTCCCTCTCTGTGTCTAATCCTGTGGATGCTGATCAGTGCACTTCACTATCTTCTGCTGTACGTCACTGCTCAAAATCCGCACCCTATTAATAGCCAATAAGCGATTAATTGTTCATTCACAAGTCATCTATAGGCCTGCTGACACAACTTCACCACCAGTGATGGATTTTAGCTATATTATGATTATTAATTATGCTGTGTGTTGTAAAGCATTAGTTATGCTTTACAACACACAGAGGTTCAAGTGTTCATAACTGTACAGCAATGTCACTTAATTATTATTATTTCAAAAGCATAAACAGCAAAATCTTACGTTTATATACTACAGTTTCAATAATTAGTAAAGGGGATTATTTGCCCATTATCCACTATGAAATGCTGGTATATTTTAGCTCGCTCTAAGACACTGGACTTGTCTCTTGAGTAATTGTTTTAAAGAAGCAACTCTTTCATTGAGTCAATTACTAAACAGCCCTATTTTTGATTAATCTGCTCTTTATCATGACTAAATGCTGCTTCAATAATTAATCTCACTTCTATAGTACACACTGAAGAGGGAGAGGCAAAGCAGAGATCCTCAGACCTATTTTTTCCCAGCAAATGCCTAGTTGAGGAATCCAGCCTCTCAATTGTATCCTTACTCTACCTCAAGTCTCCTTCTGGCTCAGGGGGTTGGAAATCGCATCTGTAACCGGAAGGTCGCCGGTTCGATCCCTGGGCTCTCTGTCCTGGTTGTTGTGTCCTTGGGCACAACCTGCCTACTGGTGTTGGCCAGAGGGGCCGATGGCGCGATATGGCAGCCTCGCTTCTGTCAGTCTGCCCCAGGGCAGCTGTGGCTTCAACTGTAGCTGCCTCCACCAGTGTATGAATGTGAGAGTGAATTGGGTGGTATTGGGTGTCTTGAAAAGCGCTATATAAATCCAATCCATTATTATTATTATTATTATTTCCATAAAAGGATAGTTGTTGTTGAAGGTCTAGATGGGGCAATCGTGGCTCAAGTGTTGGCAGTTCGTCTTGTAATCGGAAAGTTGCTGGTTCGAACCCTGGCTCAGACAGTCTAGGTTGTTATGTCCTTGGACAAGACACTTCACCTACCACCTACTGGTGATAGCCAGAGGGGCCGATGGCATGATATGGCAGCCTTGCTTCTGGGTCAGTCTGCCCCAGGGCGGCTGTGGCTACAACTGTAGCTTGCCTCCACCAGTGTGTGAATGTGAGAGTGAATGAATAGTGGAATTGTAAAGCGCTTTCAGGGTCTTGAAAAGCGCTATATAAATGCAATCCATTAGTATTATTATTATTACATTGATAATGTGTTGATCTGGGGGTTCTCACAGAAAGAACGTGATTCTCACCTGCATACAGTATTCCCAAGCATAGAAAAATGTAAGATATCATCAAAGGAAGTTAAATTCCTCTGTAACATTTTCCCAGAAACTGGAGTTAAGCCATACCCATTCAAGACAGCAGCAACCAGAGAAATGCCTGACCTACTAACAAGACTGAACTGCATAGTTCAGTGAAGTTCTACTGCAAAGGTGGAGCAAAGAATGGACTTCCTGTCTGGACAGTCAGAGCGAACATCTCAGAGAGGACAGTTCTCTTCGACTGAAGCACACATCGTGCACTTCATGTCCTTGAAGTCCTTGTCAGGGCGAATGACCAGAAAGCAGATGTTGTGAAGGTGCCAATATATTAGCTTGCATGTACAGCTTACAGCACTGCCGTTTCACATCATCATCAACATAAAGATCATTTCTTAAGATATGACCCAAGTATTTCACTTTGCTCCCCACATTCAATACTTGGTCAGTTAAATAAAAAGATGGAATATTTAGCTTGTGATCCTCCTTAGTTGGAGCAATCACAATAACACTCTTTTTAGGGTTAAAAGCAATACTGGGCACCATACCTAGCACAAACTCTAAGTAAGTGCTGCAAACCAGCACTGTAGGGAGACAAAATGACCAAATCATCAGCATACATTAATAACAATAACGTTACCCACAATAGACCCAGTCTTACATGCATTTAACTTGACAGAAAGATCATTAAGATACAGACTGAATAGAGCAGGAGACAATATTCCATCTTGTTCAGACACTACTAGATATCTTCCCAGTGGTCTAAACCACATGCTTTTTAGAGGCATCCTCTCTATAACAAGTTGTACTTCTTCAGGTCGAATAATTTTGCCATTATTGAAACCAACTGTACTACTGTTAGTAAAATCTATTTCTTTCCAAAAAGCATACACCTTATTGTGCTGAAGCTCTTTTTTGCCATAGAATTTGCCCTCATCATGCAAACATTCCTTTTAATGAAGAGGCTAAACACAAGCTACAGGTAGCTTGGTGTTCATCTAAACAATAAACTGGACTGGACTCATAATTCAGATGCCCTCTACAGGAAAGGGCAGAGCAGGCTGTACCTGCTGTGGATACTCAGGTCTTTTGGAGTGAAGGGCCCAATCCTGAAGACCTTCTATGACTCTGTGGTGGCCTCAGCCATCTTTTACGGTGTGGTCTCCTGGGGCGGCAGCATCCCTGCGGAGGACAGGAAGAGACTGAGCAGGCTGATCCGCAGGGCCAGCTGTGTTCTAGGATGCCCTCTGGACCCAGTGGAGGTGGTGAGTGACAGGAGAATGGTGGCTAAGCTGTCATCCCTGTTGGACAACATCTCCCAGCCCATGCAGGAGACTCTGACAGCACTGAGCAGCTCCTTCAGTGGCAGGCTGCAGCACCCACGGTGTGGGACGGAGCAGGTCTTTCCTCCCAACTGCTGTCAGACTCCACAACAAAGACTTTTGCAGCTGATCAAACACACACATCCACACATGTGGAATAAGACTAAGTGCAATACTCTTTTTCTGACAAAGTTGTATTTTTACTCAGTTGTATATAGCATTTGTATTCTATTTTTATCCTATTGTATATTTTATTTTATTCTATTGTATATAGTATTTTATTTTATTTTTTTGATTCTATTCTGTACAGCTGTGTACAGTATATTATTCTTATTGTATTCCAGTGTTCTCCAGTTTTTGCTATATAACTTTGCACTGTCCACTTTCTGCTGTGACAAAACAAATCTCCCACGTGTGGGACTAATAAAGGTTCTCTTTTCTTCTCTTCTCTTCTCATAAATGAGCAGGTACAGAAAAAACCTCCACAAAAAGGCCACAGATCTATTGCCTTGTTGGGATACTCTTCAGAATGGCTTCAGCCCAGGTCAATTCTTTATGGGGCACCTGCTTCATTCCACTGTGCCAACCTTACAATCTCTGCTCAACCTATTGTTTCCTGACAGTGCTGCTGTCAGTGAAAGTCAGAAAGAGAGCAGGAATGCAAATCAGAAATGAGTCAATAAGTGCCAGCATATGCATGAGCTCTGCTACCATCCACCTGGGAAACAGATGTGGTTGACCAGCACCAAAGTGACAGGGACTGTAGTGTGTGAACATTCAACACCACTTACACTGAGCTGTACACCAGTTTATTACAATGGAGTCCACACAGTGTAGATCAGGCTGAGCAGTTTTCAAACCATGGAGAGTGGACCTGTAAATAAATAAGAATTTATTCTTGGTTTGAAAAAAAAATCAAAATGGTTCTACTTCAGTAGTGCCACTTTGTTACCACAACAATCCTTATGTTAGTATGTATAATCAATTTGTGGCTATGTGAGGATGGGCAGGGGATCCTCCGTGATGTTTTTTTGCAGTAGAGGGTTACAATGCTAGTAACTGCATGTCGCAGGCAATAAAAGCTCATTCGCTACCACTCATTTTCCTTGAATACAAACCTCTTAATGATCAGTACTTATTAAAACACGTAATATTATTTTTTTAAACTATCCTAGATGAAAGTTAGAGATTTTGAATGCTTCTTCACACATTGTCACATGCATAGTCTGGAATAAACCTGTAATAAACACTGAGCTGATTACATGATTCTTATGTAATTCCTTCTTAGTGAAAGTGATGCTTTTTCTGCCATCTCCCTTTTTACAACCATCCCCAGTGTTCCCTAAAACTTAAAGGATGTGTTGAATATTATAATCATGTTTTATTGTGCTGATTGGTAGTGCTAAACAGCTGTCAAAACCAGACTATATTTTGTGCTTTAGTGCGGCTCTCCTGTATATATCCTTCCCGTATATACATGTGTACAGAGGAGGCTTCCCACAGTTACAGCGTGGTCCTCTGTACCACCCAGTAAAACATGGAAGCGCGCCAGACTGTAAGAAGGCTGGCTGTTGATTTGATTTGGCTCCCTGTAAAATATCGCAAACCTAATACAATCGCGTGAACTCGGTGAACTTCTCTCGTGCACTGCTGTAAGCGCGCGCGCACGCTGAGGCAGTAGGAGCGCGTGCCGTCAGTCCCAGGGGACGATGAATTTGCGGAGGTAGACTGCGTTTTACTCACTCTCCCTTCAAGTGGGTTTGAGGTTTTCGTACCATTTTTTAAGTGCAAGTAGGAGGTGATGTTAAGCTCCTGGCGCGCACACAGATGTGTTTCTAAAAGCCTACACTGCGGTAGAATGAGCGACTCATTTACGACCTTCTACTATGACGGAAACTTAAATTCAGCTGAATGACTTTATGGATTAGCGCGTGCTGGGGAGGACTGGCTATGTAACTGACACGGGGATTAATCAAGCTCGTCCAAACCGCATCCATCCATCTGGAAGGAACGTTAGTCTCTGCAGACTCCGTTCTTCTCCATTCATCCGTTACTATGTAAGACAATGGTACCAGTTCCTCTGCAAAAACACGCGCGGTTGCTTAGTTTCTGATGCTTGGCTGTGAAACAATCTGTCGATCAGCACCAAAACCCGGTTTTCTCCATTTCATATGGGCGAAGACGAGGAGTGCTCCAGCGCCCCTTCACGCCGCGGAGAAAATGCAGAGAACGGAAAGAGCGGAGCAGCTCTGGACCCAGAAAGAGAAAAGAGGTATGCGGAGCTGTTCGAGCAACTGGACTTGAATAAAGATGGCAGGGTTGACATCAATGAACTGAAGACCGGACTGGCAACTCGTGGTTTACAACTCCGAGAGGCTGAGAAGGTGAGCAGGTGTTTTTAATGCGGCACAGCCTGAGGCAGACGCACGCGCACGCTGTACGTGAACTAGTTTATAGTGTTTGTAAAAAAAAAAGTAAACTTATCTTAAGGGTAAAGAGTGTGGAAATGGTTTCTTCTGTATTTTAGGTTTTTATTTAATCAAGTTTATCTTTGTGTGTTTGTGATGCAAGGGCGTAGATTTGGCATGGACGGAAGGGACATGTCCCCACCAATATTCAGCGATTATTGAATTGTCCCCACCAATAATTTGATCTATTCGAGTAAAGAAAATCAAACCCGATAGAAAGAAAAAAAACCCCGATCTGTCAACGTCTCATTCATCCAGCGGTGCAGAAAGAGTTAAATTACGTCCTCTACTGGAGTCCTACCTCATGTGACAAATATGGCCAATGTGATTGGCTGTGCCTTTCAGGGAGCTCTGTTTAGTTTTACCAGCGGCAAGCCTGCGCTCAGTTTTGCCAACTTAGCGACTTTGTCGCTATATTTAGCGAGTTTTCAGATCCCTTAACGACTTTTTTTTCTAAAAAAAAGTCGCTAAAAAAAGACGTGAAAGCGCGTATCACTTTTACTCTCAACAAGCAGCGGGTGCTGTAACGCAGTCAGTTCTTCTTTTACTCCTTTACTCTTATGCTGTTTTGTGGATCACAAGGTTTAAAACTACTTATAAACACACACACACAAAGTAACTCCACCAGAGTGCCTATTTGCCGGTCCAAGCCCAGGTAAAGGAGCAGGGTTGGAATTGTGACATTAAAAAAAAAACAATAATTGCTAAAAGAAATTTAATTTGTAGTTCTAAATAAACTCTAAATGCATTTAGGACGTTTTTTACTCACTTTATGTCTCTTCCACGATGTTATTTCTCTCTCCAACAACATAGGTTACAATTAGATTAGCATGACCAATTAGGCGATGACGTCATTTAGCGACTTCTAGCGACTTTTAGGACAACCAATAGCGATTTTCCTTACTGAGGAGTTGGCAACACTGCTTGCGCTGCGAGGAGGAGAGGAGGATGGCAGCAAAAAGGAAGAACCTGGATATAAGTATTTTTCAAAGAAACCTGCAAGTCACTTAAAGCCAAATTAACTCATAATATGTGTCCGTCATAATAACGTTACAGGCTATGCTAGGCTTTGGCCCACATCAGTCTAAAATTGTATGTAACCACGAATAACGTGTTTTGGAAACTAACTGCACAACAGGCAGCACTATTAGTTATCTCAGTCTCCCAGAGTAGCATTTCTAATTTTGATTGAAACTGTCAGAGAAAACGGCAGCTTTGAGCAAGCCAGGATATTAGTTTACAGAGGCTGTTAAAATTATACGTCTAACATTAAAATGTTGGTGACACAATAATTTCATCCTAATGGTACTGACATATTCATAGGGTTGATTTTTGAGACAAAATGTCATGAGGTAGTCTTGTAGTGCCACCTTGTAGTGCAGTTTGCACAAATTGTTTTAAAAATGCACTCACCCTACAAACATTACTGATGAGTCAAGATCTGCACAAATTGACAGAAACACCGAAGCAGCTACCCATTTTATTCTTATTGTCATGTATGTCCTATTTGTCAGGTGACAGAAGAACCAACACAAAGCTCAGAGAGTAATGGTGATACAAGATCACAGGTGAAATTGGATGATGACTTGTTGGTTCATTACTGTATTTGAAGCACATGTGTGACTGCATGTATTTGGAATGTCTCACTGTTATTTATCAGGTGACAGAGGCAGCTCTGCCATGCTGTAGCTCGGACAGAGGTGAAGAGGTGAGGTCACAGGTGACTGACTGATGATTTGGTGCTGTAGATTAAATAGTATTTATTATCATGACAATTGTTAGGCTGCTGATGTAAATTGTTTCATTAGTGTATATTTGACAAAGAATCTGAATTGACA